TGCCAACTTTGAAATCTTCTTCGGTTAACTTGTTAATGGAATTTCGTAAATTTAACATCTTATATTGTTTTAATTATTAGAAGAGTATTCGCGCAATGCAACGAGATACATCTTCATTTTAATGTTTCGTTTTCTCTGTTGATATATAATACAGTTTACGTTGTTTTGATAAAGATGATGTTTTTACTTTTGAATAAAAATAAATTTGAAAAAATATATCAATATTGATATCAAATTAACTATTTAAAAGTTCTAGTTTTTTTTACAGTTTCTTTAATTCAATTTTTTATTATAATTTAGTTTTCTAATAGCTAAAGTAATTTTTTTTTTTCGCTTAATAATATGATTTTTATAAAGATAATGATTCTGTTAGAACTCAATGATTATCTTAATTATATTTAGATTTTTTAATTTAAAATAAAATGTTTATCATGTATCTGATTATATTTATCTGCGGTTAATTATACGAATTCAAAAATGATGATTTAATAAGTTGTACTTACGCACAATTTATTGTAATCTTAAATTTTAAGTAATATGCATCAATAAACAGTACTTCATGCGTAAAAAATGGATTTTAATTTTTTTTGTCAAATACTTTATAATATAATATAAATACATGTGTAAAACGAATTATGTATCAAGTGGCTTAAAACTATAAACTATTAAACAAGATTGGTTTAATATGTATTAAAATATTGAATGTTGTGTAAAGGTACAACATTTTAATTTACACTATTAATTATATTTTACTTGTATTTTTATATATTATAAGAAAATTATGATATCAGTTATTTTTTTTTTTATTAACCTGGATATCCAACTCGCTATACGAACCGACTAATTCTAGGAGGACCATGTGCTTGAACCTCTATGGCCACAAGAGATTTTTATTTCTCTTTTGATTTGAATCTGATACCTCCAGACACTTTTAACCCATGAAACCAAGCTCAAACCAATCACGCACCACCCTTATTGTTAATATCAGTTACTTATATTTTGTGGATAATAGATATGTAAGTTATCCAATAATTCAAAATTTCAAAGGGTGATATGAAATTTTGCATTTGTGTTCATTTACATCAAATTCAGTCAAAATATCATTAAAAATGATAATTTTATCGTTAATCCACATGTAATCCTTAAAAATAACTCATTGAAAACTAACGTAAAGTTTAGAAACCAAAAGGAAACTTTGATATATTTTTTTAAAGTATATAATATTTATATACGACAAATAGAACAAATAAACTCACACATCCTCCTCATATTTTGTAAGGTTTGAACCATTGACCTCCTAAAAAGCCAATTATTCACATATCGCTAGGCTAAAATCCTTTTGATAACTTTGACGTATTTCTTACCATCATGACACTATTATAGTTGGTAGGCTACTGTTAACATCGTGATTGTTTTAGCCACCGGCCCCATAAACCTAATTATTGAAGAAGAAAATAGAAAGAAATTACGTATTTAATAAAAAATTTAAAAAAAAAAAAGGTTTTTGTTTTATTTTAAAGTCGAACTCTGTTATATTTTAACCGCACACCAATATGAAAAAGTACGAAAAGAATTCAATTAAATAATTAAAATGTTTTTTTTTAAACTTGATCACAATATAAAATAAATTCTATGCATTATTGCCAAAAACCAAATACCCCTTGACCTAGCGGTATCGTAGCTTTTGACTTCCTAAAAGATCAGGGTTTCAAACCCCACCAAAAGTAAAAAAAGTGTGTGAGTTTATTTGTTGCATTTACTGTATATAAGTATTATATACTTCAAAAAAAAAGATCCCTTAAGAAATAAGAATTACGTCGTACGTTACAAATAAAAACAGTACAATTAAATAAACCATACACGTATAATTGACCGAATATTTTATACAAAAATACATTATCTAAATTAGCTTATGACATGTAATTCCCTCCCAATATTAATTCATTTCCAAGTGTTTTAATAATTATTTGCCATTTTTTTTTTGCTAGTCAAGTAGTTGGCCACTTCTCCATTGAATACAAACAACCCTAAACGGTCAACTATAGAAAAAGTCAAACTTGTTTTTATCATTTGCACTCTATCTTTGTGCATGCGTGTGGTACATTATTTTAAGAAAAAAAATAAAAGGTAAATTGTATAAAAAAGTAACGTAATTTAACTTGATTCTTATTTTGGATAACGTACTTTGAAAACTTTCATTTTGGTACTGAAGATGTGAAGTTTTAAACATTTAAGTACATGGGTAACCAGTTGAAGACTAATTTTATATTAAAAAAGAACTAATTTTAGATTAAAAAAATTCATGTCACTAACCACGTCAACAAATAATACTGAGTTGGATACCACATCACTCGTTACATTAGGATGATAACCGGTTAATGCTTCAATCAGTTACTTGAGTACTTAAATGTTTAAAATTTTACATCTTAGGTACCAAAATGGAAGTTTTGAAAGTATGTTACCTAGAATATGAATCAAGTTAAAGTACGTTATTTTTTCATGCAATTTGCCTGAAAATAAAAGAGTGGATATGGAAATTGCTAAATTTAGAGAAATTTATAAAACTCTGTATAAGAGCGAGAATTAGTATTTTAATTTTTTTTTTCCACAATGGGAGCTATCATAATTAAATGTTAGAAGAGATAAATATTATTTTATTAAATATATTAAATAGTTTAATAATATAGTTAATGCTACAATTGCTAAAATAGAGTAGATGTTGGAGTTGAATGTAATACATTTTTAGAGATTTTGACTTTTAATACTTTACTTTAGAAAAATTATAGCATAACAGTTGAAGATGCTCTAACAAAAGTTTGTAACTGATAATTAAATGTCAAGAAGATAGAAATAATATTTTATTAAATATTTTAATAATATAGTTAATGTTATAATTGCTAAAATAGAGTAGCTATTGGAGTTGAATGTAATATATTTTTGTGATTTTGATTTTTAATACTTTATTTTAAAAAAATTATAGTAAATTGTCAAAGATGGTTTATCGTTATTTTATAATGTTTTTTTAAATCGATAAATATAAACATGTCGATATTATATTTAATTAAATTGAAAAAGAAAACGTCATATTTCAGAACTTTTACTTGTTCAAATAACAATAAGCAGATGAATCTCTTTCTTTTTTGTAAGTTCATAATTAATATTATATATTACGGATTATTTCTAGAAAGGATCAAGTTAACGAGTTCTCTTTTTTCAAAGACAACATGTGTAATCTTTTTTTTTTTTTTGATTAATCTGGATATCTAACCCGTTATGAGAGCCGACTAATCACATGACGACCACCTGCTTTGCGAGTAGTCCGGAGTCACCATATTTGAACCTCCGTAGCCACAAGGGGATTTTTATTCCCTCTTGGATTTGAACCTGAGACCTCCATAGACTTTTGACTTTTGGAGCCCAAGCTCAAACCAATCAGACATTACCCTTGTGATTAACATAAAGAAAACTTAACAAGGGCATCTATCGATGAAAGGGTCGTCCTAAGATTATCATGTCATATGAATCGTATTAAATGATTCTACATTCTGAAAACCAACTGATACTTAAAAAAATATTACGATTGATTTCTTTATTAAATGCTTCATAACAATTGTAATATAACAATGGTTTTAAATAACTCGTTATGGCGTCGATGTTTGGCTTTGCGACCACATTAACAACCCTTGTGATTCTGCTCTAAGGTTGGATGCTTTTGTCTTTTTTACCATTTTTAAACATATAACGTGGAGGATAAATGGTAATTAATGCATGGCATCTAAAACTTAAATAAACGTTAAAAAGAAACATAAGAACCCTGAATAGGTAAATCTTTACTATCATTTCCGTATAAACAGAGTCGAACATGAATTCTTTGAAAATTGAAGAAAATAGCGAGTAGAGACTCAAAAAGTTTTAATCTTGTTTTTCCACTCTTGATATCATTTTCTTATAAGATCGATATATCAGTTTTTCTTTCATTTTTAGTTTTATAATTTTATATGAATTTCAGTTGTTCTACAGAATTATTCAAAACACTAATACATATACATACATACACACACACACACACACACACATATATATATATATACATATATGTTGCCTTAATTAAGGCAGACTCTGAAAAACACCATGACCTCGCTTTAACTCATAAGACTTGAGACTCGACGTTGTCGTTATACTATATCCCATATCATTTATAACCTTGAAATATATATATATATATATATATATATATATATACATTATATTATAAAGTATTTGATAAAAACTCTTAAAAACCATTTTTTATGCATGATTACAAATAAATTGTGTGTATGTACAACTTATTAAAGCTTCATGATTGAATTTATGTAAATAATTATATATAAACATAATCAAATAGAGGATAAACATCTCATTTTAATTTTAAAATCTAAAATATAATTAGGATAATCATTGATAACTAATAAAATACTTAATAATTATTTTTATAAAAAAATATATTAATAAACCAAAACTAAAAAATGAACTAAAGCAATACACAAAAAGAAATTTAAATACTTAGTTTGGTACCAATATCAATATTTTTTTAAATTTTTATGATATATTAATATTTATATTTTATTCAAAAATAAAACATTATTACTTTCTTAAAACCATATAAATTGTATTATAATATCAACCCGAAAGAAAAACGAAACATTAAGATCGAGATATATCTCGCTGCATTATGAAGGTATCCTTCTAATGTGTGTGTATATATATATACATATATATATATATATACATATATATATATATATATACATATATATATATATATACATATATATATATTATTTGTTTAAAGAAGAGTAATATGCAATGAATCACGTATAGGAATAAGACCATGTCTTATTGGATTATTGAAAAGGCATGATTAGGAAGTTTAGAGCATAGAGGCTGACAAAACCCTATATATACTTGATCAAAGTCTTTAACTTCTACTATTACCTCATCTAAAATTTGTGCAAAAACCATCCTAACAATTTGTATATATCTTACGAATTTAAAAATGGCAAGCAACGTCCCCACAACAAACCGCATCGGTAACCGACCTCCAAACACCGGAAATCTCATAACAGTCCTTAGTATCGATGGCGGAGGGATACGAGGAATCGTCCCAGGTGTCATTCTCGAGTACCTCGAGTCTCAACTTCAGGTACGTACAACTCATACGTACACGTGTGCATATATACATATATATGTACGTATATCCCTAAAGAGATTAAAAATATCATTCCAACTTAAAAAAAACGTTTCTATCGCTTTTGTGATCCAAACAAGATGTTCCCAAAACCATTTGTGGTTGGTAACTTGTTGTATATATATTGATATATATATATATATATATATTCGTAGGAGTTAGACGGCGAGGAAGCAAGGCTAGCGGATTACTTTGATGTCATTGCTGGAACAAGCACTGGGGGTCTAGTCGCCGTCATGCTAACGGCTCCAGACCAAAACAACAGACCTTTGTATGCTGCTAAAGACATCGTTCCATTTTATCTTGAAAATTGTCCCAAGATTTTCAAACAATTTAGGTAAGATCAAATACAAGTGTGTGTATATATATATATATATATATATATATATATATATATATATATATATATATATGAGGTTTACTTTGCAAACCACGTTATTTGTACAAATCATACAAACCTCATTCAACCAATCATAATTTTTCATTTTGTTCATATTTTTGTAATTATGGGAGGTTGATTAATCATTTTTATTGTGAAGGGTGTTAATCATGGATATTATCATCTTCATTATTTTAATTTTAGAGAAATACATGAAACAATTTCATTAAGTATTATATCAAACAATTTCATAACCATATATGAAACAACTTCATAAAAAAAGTATTATATGAAACAATTTCACAAGATTAAACAATTTCATGAAAAAATTTCATAAGATTAAACAATGAAATCGACGGATGAGGGTGGTTTGCACGGTTTGTACAAATTGGATGGTTTGCATTTGATCACTATCTTTGCTTAAAAGATATTTTGGGAGGTTCATACGTATAATATGTGTTTACACAGATTATACATTAATAACTTACGTGTTTCCTTAATTTGTGGAAATTCAGAGGGCCATTTGGTGCGATTATAAAGCTGCTGAAGGCACTGGTAGGACCAAAATACAACGGGAAGTATCTTAAAGAGCTTGTGACGAGCTTATTAGGAACCACCCAGCTGAATCAGACATTGACCAACGTTATCATTCCTTCCTTTGACATCAAAACTATGCAGCCTGTTATCTTTAGCTCATTTCAGGTCTCATTTTCAAACATACATCCATCCATCCATCTTTTTATTTAATATTAATTAATTAAACTACACATATTTACTAATTTTTCCAATATATATTTATATATATATATATATATATATATATGGTGGTTATATTGAAGGTGCCAAGAGAGCCTAGCATGGATGTGCAATTATCAGACATCTGCCTTGGTACATCGGCGGCACCTACGTTCCTCCCCGCCCATTATTTTCAAAATGGCGATCGAGAGTTTAACCTTATCGATGGTGGCATGGCTGCTAATAATCCGGTAATTTACAAACTATAGCTATAGTGCAATGATGTCATTGTAACAAAATTAAGTTTGTATGAGACAAAATATCTCTTTTAATAAACTGTTTTATAGGATCAAACATATATACACTACAACAAAATCGGGTTTATAGGACGTTCCCAATTTCTAAGTGTCTTAATAGACCTCTTTATAAGACTTAGTTTATAGGACAAAAAAAAGTGTCATGTATAAAGACGTTGTAATAAGTTATATGATGTTTTTTGACGTCGTAATAAGTTTTTTAGGATAATTTTAATATAAAACGTCTCATTAGCAACTTTATAGGACACAATTTGAAAAATTGTCCTATAAAAACAAGTGTTCTATAAAAAAATGAGTTTATAGGACACTTTCTCAAAAGTATCATATAAAGTTGCTAATGCGACGCTTTGTATTAAAAATGTCCTAAAAACTTGTTAAAACGCTCAAAAACGTCATATAAACTTATTACAACGCTTTTAGATAGAACACTTTATATTTTGGTCCTATAAATTAAGTCATATAAAGCGGTCTATTGGGACGCTTAGAAATTGGGGGTGTCCTATAAACCCAATTTTGTTGTAGTGATAACTCATAAGTAAAAATGTTGCAATAAGTTTATTAGAACACTTGGATATTTAACGTCTTATAAAACACCATATCAATATTTTCAGACATCATTTGAAATTTTGTATTATAAAAAACAAGTGTAATGTAAAAAAGACGTGTTCATAGGAACTTCTCAAAAGCGTCGTGCACAAAAGGTAATATAATACTTTATTTCAAAAGTGTTTTAAACAACTTGTTAAAACGTCATATAAACTTATTGCAACGTTTTTTTACATAGAATGTACAATTATTTGATTAATATAACAAATGTTATATAAAGCAGTCTATTAAAACACTCAGATATTTTTGACATCTTACAAACCCGACATGTAAACCTATTCATGCATGTAATACAACAATACAAGCTATTAACAAACAATGTACAACAATTAATGCATCACTTACAACATTGTGTGTTATAATTGGCAGTCTTTGGTTGCAATAGGAGAAGTGACAAGGCAAACCCTAAAAGAAGATCCAAATTTCTTCCCTATTTCACCTCTCGATTACGGGCGGTTTCTGGTGATATCGTTAGGGACGGGCACTGAGAAACAACAACCTCGATACGACGCGAAAATGGCTGCAAAATGGGGAGTTCTTGGGTGGTTACTCACGAACGGTTCGGTCCCACTGGTAGAAGCTTTTACTCAAGCGAGTGCTGATTTGGTTGTTTTCCACGACAACGTTGTCTTCGAAGCCCTTAATTCCACCGACAATTATCTCCGCATTCAGGTTTGGTTCACTCATCTTGAACATGCTTTGATAACTTGTACGTAGACATTCAACGTGCCTTGATGGATTGTACAGTACAAATCAACAATGCACACCTCCCCAAACATGTAATCAAAGACGCACCCGTAAATTTTTCTAGGTGGTGATACAGTCTGAACATAAAAATAAAACCTGTTAAAATATCTCACAATATTAGTATAGGTTGCTTGGTTGATTTTTTGCCCTTGCATACACTACAACAAAATCGGGGTTATAGGACGCTCTCAATTTTTAAGCGTCTTAATAGACCTTTTTATAGGACCAAAAAATAAAGCGTCTTATCTAAAGACGTTGTAATAAATTTATATGACATTTTTTAACGTCTTAATAAGTATTTTAGGACAATTTTAATATAAAGCGTCACATAAGCAATTTTATAGGACATTGTTTGAAACATCGTCCTATAAAAACAAGTGTCCTATAAAAAATTGAGTTTATAGGCCACTTTCCCAAAAGTATCTTATAAAGTTGCTAATACAACGCTTTGTATTAAAAATGTCATAAAAAACTTGTTAAGATGTCCAAAAGCATTATATAAACTTATTACAACGCATATAGATATGACACTTTATATTTTGGTCTTATAAATTAAGTTCTATAAAGCGGTCTATTGGGACACTTAGAGATTGAGGGCGTCCTATAAACTCAATTTTTGTTGTAGTGATACAAAGGACTCATGTTTGAGTCCAGCTATAATTCTTTTTCTAAAACAACTGAGAAACACCAAAATTTAAGCTAAAACCTAGAAATTTTGACAAATCTGGAACTTAAACCCAGGGTTTTCGTACAAAGTAAGCAACATTAACCAATTCTGCCATTAAAAACTTGTATCAAAGCTTTTCAGTTAACAAAACAGTATGGTAACGTAATTTTCTCACTTACGATGGAACCATGAAAAGAAGGTCCATGCCACTGTATTTGCCTATGTAGGTCTGCGCCTTCGATGCAATAACGGGTTGTAGATAGAACATTCTGAACATGCTTTGGTAGGTCGTACAGTACAACCTGACAATGCATACCTAAAAAACCATCAATTCTTCATTTTGTTGCCTTATTTCAACCCCATACGGAACCAACCCCCTAGAAACCCCGTACGCAACCAACTTGAACACGTTGTATAATTCAGCATAATTGTTCTGTCCCTCTGCCAACTAAGCTCGAGGGCTATCTATATATGTATGTATAGTCGTTTCATTACAATCCAAAAATGGTCAGATTCAATGGGAAAACTATGTTTCACCTCTTAAAAGTTGTATCAGACTAATCAAAGTTTTGTATGCTTTAAATTTACGTCAAATTAGGATGAGAATTTGACCGGAGACTTGGCTTCAACGGACATAGCAACAAAGCAAAACTTGGACGACCTTGTGAAAGTTGGCGAAAGATTACTGGATGACTCGGTTTCCCGGATGAATTCCACTACTGGAGTGGTTGAACCCATCCCAGATGGTGGTACCAACCGTGACGTATTAAAAAGGTACAACTTTGTGGTTCAAATTACAGTTAATATTTGTACAAAAAGCAGGTTTAATAAAATCCAGTTTATTTTTAAATGCAGGTTTGCACAACAACTCTCGGATGAACGGAAACTAAGGGAGTCAAATAATACGGATGGGAAAGTAGTCGAGTGACTGTTTTTTGTTTCTTTTGTAAATTTCGTAAATTATTTGGAAAGGTTATAATAAATATTTAATCGTAATGTCATTAAAATTTGATTCAATAAAATGGCAAACTTTAATTCTATTTATATTTTGGTTATAATATTATTTTTCTTTTTGAAGTATATAATATTTATATAGAACAAATAGAACAAATAAATTCACACACTCTCCTCATCTTTGATGAAGTTTGAACCTCTAACCTCTTAAAAAGCCAAAGACTCACATATCGTTAGACCATACCGATATAACTATGGATTTTATTTATTAAAGTGTTTTATTATTTATTTTAGATATTTAAAATACAATTTATTAAGATAAAATAAAGCAAAATTCAAAAATAATTTATTTAATGAAAATTATAAAAGATTATTTATTTTCTCACACTTTTTTTAATTTAAAGAAAAATGTGTTGAAATAAAAAAAAAGCATCTTAAAATCCTCAAAAATTTCAATTTTTTTTCCATTTAAAGAAATTTTGTTTGAGATGTTACCAAAATGGGGGCCCATTATGTCAAAAGCGAGAGAAACCACATCCTTCTCTCTATTGCTCTACTTAAAAATCAAATATGAATACTATTAGTTGGGAATTTTGTGAAAGGTTCCTGTAAAAAGTTTCATTAACGCCTAATTCATGTCGAGTAGACCTTGTTGTTGTGAGAATTCTTAATTCATGAATTGAAAGGTCCGAATGATCCGTAGTTTTTAGAATCAATAGGTCTTCAAATCGTTCATTTGAAAAAATTGAAACCCTTCGCATCGTTAGCTTGGAAGGCTAGGGGTTATAGTAGACGTCGATTCATCATTTTTAACGTCTCTAATTCAAAACCGAACATGTTGAAGAATGAGCCGGCGACTAATAGGCAGTGGCTTGGTTAAGGGAACCCAGATCCGGACCCTTTTTTTTCCTGATCCTTCGATAAAAAGATTCATTCTCAAATTTGTTCGTGGTAAAGACAAGATACACTTGGACTAGAAAACCCGTGCAAATTCTTTGTTTTTGGGCACAGGGTTCGGGGTAAAAATAAAATGGACTTAAATATGGTTTTTTGTAACGTATTAATAAGTTATACCCATGTTACGAGCTGTTTCATGTCATAAATAAACTCGAACACTCAAGAATCTGTTAGTCGGGTGGATCACATCTCTTACAACTGACACTCTTATAACCGACACAATCATCTCTTCTTAGAACAGAAGCTATTTGTTTGACTTTACATCCATCTTAACATATCTATACTATATTATAAAGCATTTGACAAAACTTTTAAAAACCACTTTTTATGTGTAAAGTACTGTTTATTAATGCATATTACTTAAAATCAAGATTACAAGTAGATTGTGCGTAAGTACAACTTATTAAAGCTCCATATCTGAATTCGTGTAACTAACTGCAGATAAACTTAATCAAATACAGGATAAACATCTCATTTTAAATATAGAAATCTAAAATATAATCAGAATAATCATTGAGTTCTAAAAGAATACTATATTTTTTTCAAAATTTTATGATATCTTCAAATTTATATTTTATTCAAAAATAAAATCATTATTGCTTTCTTAAAAACACATAAAATCGTATTATAACATCGACAGAGACAAATAATAAAATAGAACATTAAAATCGAGAATGAAACAAAGGAAGAGTGTTGTTGGGCTTGCTGACGTGTCATCACTTTTGATCATGAAATGGATTTGTTGAAACCCAAAAGCGTTGTTATTATTTGGATAAAAAATTGATTACCGTCAATCTTAATTGGTTATATACGTAATTCATCTTTAACGACATCGATATGAGATGACATTTTTTTGACTCACTCAACGGTTAAGGCTAGCGTAGGGCCCGTAGATCAAACCTGGGACCTTGGTCAAAGTCGTCTCACTCATTTGTCAACTGAATTATGCACCAGAGCAAAAGGGCTGTTATTATTATTGAATAATAAATAACTATTAATTGAAATACTGTGTTTCGTCCTGTAAAAATGAATCGAGGGTTTCTAGTTTCATAAGCATTCAAGCAACAAACCAATGACCTGTAACATAGATGAGTTCTGTTATAAAAAATGCAGTTATTTATGGTTATGGATTTCAATGGGTTTCATACAATAATTTTTACAAGTCAGGATGTATATGCTTTACTCTGATTACTGATATTTTTGTTTTATTTGTTAAATATCGTAATAAATGATTTGAAACATGAAATACACGTTATCTTGAAAAAAAATACGTGAACTGATTTTGTTACATCAGGTTAAGAAAGACGGTGAGATTTCTTCAACACGAAGAGGATGGTCTGACCCAATTGTGTGACGAAAAGTACGTCATTCAACATGCTCAAAAGGAATTTAAAGAGTCTAGAGATAGTTTTGATTCGACGATTAAAATGTCAAGTTTTAGATCAAACGAGAATGATACTTATTTAAAATGATACGAGAATAATTATGGGTCAATCATTTCATTAAATAATATATTAAATAATTAATTCTAAAAGTAAATAAATAAGGGTATAAAAGTAATTTAGTTATATAAAAGTTATTTAAG